ATAGATGATTGTTTTTGTTGATTTTTTGGATAGCTATCATGTAATAGGTAATTATATTTGTTGTTAACATGTATATGAGTTGCTTCCATAATCTCAACCAAACACCTATATAGGCTATAATATATCCCACATGAAAAGTTGTCCCATGCTTCATGTGGCATTGTAAGCTTTTGAGGCTATGAATAATTACTCCTTTTTTTTTTATTCTTTTTTTGTATCATTTAGATTCTTCTTTTCTCAAACTTCGTGTTTGCTCAAATTTAAATTTCCTTTTTAACATTTGATACCTATGATTTGGGTTCCTGATGACTGGGGAAATTGATTGATTTTTTTTTTAATTAGGTTAGTATGGTGGTAAACCTTGCCTTATTTTAGCTTGATTTAAAATTTTAATGAATTTTAAAATTTATATAAGTTTAATTTAATTACAAAATAAGCTGATTAAAAACAAACATTAAAGAGCCGAACATGAAAAATAAGCCGAAGTAGCTTGATTTTTTTATAGCGCAAGCAAGTTTATTGAGTCGATTAGTAAGTTATTCAAACCTAACTTTAAAACTTAACAATTTTAAAATTATATTCAAATTTAATTTATTTACCTATCGAGCTGATAGCCAATGAATTATTAACGAGACAAAAATGAGTTGAAGTTGAGTAGTTTGGTTGGTTTTTGAACTATACTTTCATGTGTAACATTTCATATGTAGTCACTATTTGAAATTAAAATCTCTCCCACATTATAAAGGTAGACCGCATAGCGCAGTGGATTAGCGCGTTTGACTTCGGATCAAAAGGTCGTGGGTTCGACTCCCACTGTGGTCGAATTATATTTTTCAAGTACCAAACACGGACTTATCTCCTTTTTTATATATATTATAAAACCGTTCAATTTGAGATTTGTGTTTTTAATTGTGATACATTTAATTTTAAATTTTAAATTTCAGTTTGATAAAATAGATTTTTGAAAATTACTTTTGTACTCACCAAAGATAAAATTATATAAAAATAATAATTTTTTTTTTTTTATCAAATTAATTTTTAATATGCGTTTAGATGATGATCACGTGATAGATGATTGTTTTTGTTGATTTTTTGGATAGCTATCATGTAATAGGTAATTATATTTGTTGTTAACAGGTATTTTCAGATGATTATCATGTAATAGATGATTATTAAATTTTAGAGTCATGATAGAGACCCCCTCTAATCACCACCCCCACAACCCCCACAGACACGTGGCGGGTGGTGATTGGAGGAGCAGGAAAAAAAGAAAAAAGAAAAAGAAAATGTAACCAATGAGAAAGAGAGGGGGTCAAAGGGGGTAGGGGAAAAGGGGGTATGAAACATTTTTGTAAACTTTAATATGTAGAGCAATGACTCATACCCCCTTAAAAGTCTCACCCCCACCACCCCCCACACACACGTGGGGGTTGGGGATTGGGAGATCAAAAAAAAAGAAAAAGAAAAGTTAGCCAATCAAATGCAAAGGAGGTGAAGGGGGTCTCAACCTTTATTGTAATATGTAATCTATATTGTTGTTACAAAAATGTTTTGGAACACTAAAAAAGGAGCACTAATGAGTTGGCTCCACCCATAATGTGATGGATGTCTTTCTTTTTTTTCTTTTTTTTTTAACATTTCTATCTCATTAGAGCTATTAGTGTTCTATTATTTAGAGCTCCCAATCAGTTTTGTTGTTGTTATTAGGTATTTTTTGATTTAATGTATTGGTTTAATAATGATATCAAAATTGTTGCCATATTCGACTTTTAAAAAAATAAAAACTAATTTAACAAAAATAAATATAAAAAAAATATTTCTATCCTCTCAAAAGATAAAATTATATAAAAGTGATATATTTTAATTTTTTTTACCAATTTAATTTTTAGGTTCTTAGAAAAAAAATTTGAAAATAAATTCTGAAAATCAAACCGAATAGGACTTTATAACTAAAAAAGTTCCAGTATTATTTATTAAAAAATGGTCATTACATTTCAAACAACATATAAGTTAATCAATACACAAAAAACTTGTATGACAACTTTACCCTTAAAATGGACAGTTTGTAAAGAAAATATATTTGATTGTTCTTATTTGGAACCAGATTTAAAATTTTAAGATCAAATATATCACAGTTGAAAAGTTAAGAATCAAAATGATATAAGTTTCAAATTACAGGGACTATTAGTGTAATTCCCCTATTATAAATTTTATTATGTAAATATAATTACTTCAAGTAATATCAAAATTAATTAGTCCACATATGAATCATATATTTATTGGTGTCAAAAGTAGGGGTCGGCAAACATTCTTTCAATCCGTTAAAATTTAACGGTCTAAACCAATCCGCTATAGAATGGACGGTTTTAATGATTCAAGCGGATGAATGCGGATGCATTTTTTTCAATTCGCCTATGTTAAGGAGGATAGAGGATGTGAGACCGCCCTACTCAACTCAATCCACCAACACTCTTAAAAAAATAAAATTATACTATTGTACTTTGTGTGTTAAAAAAAAATATTTTATTTAGTAATTATGTTTATTATTTATGAAATATGAAAAATTGTCCTTTATTTTTATTATAAAAAATGAATAATAGAAAATTTTGGATCCAAAATAGTAAAGAATTTTCTAAAAAATAATTAAAAAAAAAAAGACCCAAAAAAGTAAAGCCAAATCACCAAATTAATCTGCATTCACCTGCCAATCTGCATAGGCCGCTTAAGGCCATCCTACTCAACCTAATCTTGGAGCACCCTAGTCAAAAGGACGTGAAATTTATAGAAAGAAAGCAATGGATCATAGAGCCGAATATAGGAGATTATTACAAATTTAGGCCTCTCCACTCTTAAGTAAGACCTATTAGGATGTACCAGCTTAAATCTTTATTAATTTTGGATAAATTATCAATAACTTCTCTTTAAAAGTGGTGTGGCCTATTTAGTTCCACAACCTTTTGTTTATACTCAAAAATCTTGTAACGTTTTTCTTCTTCTCTATCTCTTTTTCTTCCTGATTTTTGGCAATCGGCAATCGACGACCAAGTCTCGTTTCCTCTCTTTCTCTTTCTGATTTATAGTTATCGGTGATCGATAATCACCATCGATTGGGGTTCACCAGCAATCATTGACCACTGATTCCTTACTTTACCATCGCCGGCGACGAAGAAGATATATTTTCGATGAAGAAGATGAATAGATCTACTTAAATTTGATGTAGATCTACATCAGATCTGACTAGATTTAAACAAAAAATAGTTGTCAGAGTACAATCCTCTCTATATTTGTCTCTCTTTTTCGATCTCTTAATTTTTCTACATTTTCTCTGTTACACACTTCTTTTTTTCTGTTTTAATGGAAAAAAATTTCAAATTCTGAACAAATTGTTTTTGAGTTTTAGATACAGACGTTGCAATTTCAATGTTTTTTTTTATGCTGAAATGAATCATGGTTTAAAATTGTAAAATTTTGTAGTTTCGTAACATGTTTTTCTGTTTGATTAATAAGGATAAATACTTAATAGATTTTTGCTTTGAAATTGTAAAATTTTACAGTTTCAAAATTTGTTTTTCAGTTTGATCAATATTAGAGATTATTTGTTTAAACCCTACAAAAATTAAAAAATAACATATGTTTTTTTTTTCCCCCATTGCTACTGTTTTTTGTTGTTACGTTTTTTTTTTTTTTTCCATTTCAGTTTATCAATATTTTACACAATTTATTATATTTTTTTGCTCTATTTTCTCCATTTTTTAAAGCAATATTTTGGACATTCTGGTGAGTCTTTGACGATATTTTTAATGTCCAGTGAACGTTTTGAACATTCCGACAACTTTCAATAAAGTTCAGAACACTCCGGCAAACTTTCGGCAATACTATGGTGACTTTGCGGTGATGTTGAACATTCCAACGAGTCTCCGGTGATTGTCTGACGAAAGTTCGACGGTGGTGGGATATAGCAATGTTTGTAAATTTTTTTTTTAAAAAAAATGTAAAAATTAAGAATATATAAGACTAATTAGTTCAAATATTTTATTTTGAAACTAGATTAATTTTAAATTTTATGTATAGGACTTACTGGTAAATTCTCCATTAATTTTTAAGCAACGGATCAAAGAGCCAAATGGAGGAGATGAATTACAAATAAATCTACTCCCAAACCAAACCGTTCATAGAAATGTTACTTCTGATGTAGAGCTGAAAAATGAAAATAAATTGTCCAAGATATTTTATTTTCAAAATTTCAATACAAGTTTTTTTTTTCTTTCTAATTCATACTATTTTAAAATTTATTTCTCAAAAATCAAACGATTTTGAAATGACTTGAGGTTTGAAGACATTTTGAAAACTTGACTTAATTGACGTAATTGTAAAACTTTTCAAAATCATGTTAAAAAAGAAGTCATGTTTTAAAAAAAATGTTTCAAAAAAGAACTTGAGAAATAAATTCAAAAAATTCAAATTTTTTTTTTTTTATGAAACTTAAGACTTGATTTGATTTATTTTTTAAATACAAATTGTTTTAAATTTGCCGTATCTCAGAACATGGACCTTATCCGCAATACATCATTTACTATTTGATAGATTGAGATATATTTATCAATTTATTCATATGTTTAAGGTTACAGCTTTTTATTGACATTTTACCTCGGTAGAAGAGCCTAACCATGGGAATGATATTAATTTTAGCCAGATTATATAAAAGCAAATTGCAATTCAGCCGTATGTTTCCAAAATTAAAAAAAATAAAAAATAAAAAATAATAATAATCATCATAAACCTTAAACACTTTAATAATTAAAGTTATAAACTTTTCAATAAATTTACAAATATTTTGTAAAAACACTACTGATTTGCAATTTCCCTCATATATACTAGGTATAGTGACCACTCTGTGGTATGAAAAATATTTTGTATTATTCGTGGAACCAATTTACCCGAAAATAGGGAACATGATCAATTGCTGATAGGAAGATCATAGGTGCACAAGGATAACAATATTAGGTGGAAACAATTATTATTGGACAAAATGAGCAAAGCCACAACTACACATTCCCCACTCCCATGAAAACATTAAACTAAAGAAGAACAATATTGTAAAAAGAAAAATATAACAAAAACTCATGTTTCAAGTTCTCATTCAGCATATGTTTGGGCAAACCGAAAAGAAAAACAATTTAATCGGAAAAATATCTCACTATCCACGGCATATAGATAGTAGAAACATAAAAGATGCTAAAAACCTAAACCTTGATCGCATACTTCCTCATTGGGAAGTACATCTCCTTCTTTTTCTCCCTTTCTGTCTTCAATGATGCCTGCATGAAACAACACATGAATATGAGATTGCCATTTTCCAAACTCGACCACAATACTAGTGGTTCAGAGGGGAAAAAACATACAAACTAAGCCACATTGTACATTAGGCAGTCTTATACCAACAGAACATGTTGAGGTAATATAGCAGTTTCCATATATTAACGCTGTGTTTGTTTGGAAGATTTGGAAAGAGATTTGAAAACAGAAAGGAAAAAGATAGGTGAAATATAAATAAAATATACTTACATTTTACTTAATTTCACACACTTTTTTCCCTTTCCCTTTCCAAATCACTTCCCAAATCCCTCAACTAAAAATAGCGTAAAGCAAGTATCAATTAGAGAAAGAAGACATAGGGGCTGTTCTATCAATAGTGAACATAGAAGTTTCCATGAGAACAACAGCATCGCTTAATGTCCATTCATCTGATATATGAAGGCAACTATGCATTAGGGAACAAGATACTTTACATGCATTAAGGGAACTACCATATACAACAGGAAAGAAAATTAACCATATACTAAGGGCAACCACCATTTTCCATGCAATATCCTCATATTGAAAAAGCACTCCATTAAAGCATCATGGTACCCAAGCAAGGAAGCACGGGTGCGGGTACGAATACGGTACGGTACGGGTATGAGTGAGGATACGCCGATTCGGCAAAACTAAAAAAAAGTACGATACGGGTACGGCTGCGGTACGCCGATATATGTATATATATATTTTTAAATATAATTATGGTTAAAGAATCCAACCTACAAATTAAAATTAAATATCAAAACTAAAAAAAGAACTACTCATTTTCCTATAATTTAAAACCATTAAGCGTTAAAAATAATATTTGTGAAATCTCTCATTTTGACATGTTATACATTGTGAATTTGTGATCATAATTTATTTTTAAAATCTTTCTTTTTGCTCATCAATTTGCTATTTTTATAGGGTGAGACCAAAGAAAGATTTAAAATTAATTGCCAACAGTAAACGAAAAAAAATTCTCAATTGGGGCAGGTTGTCAATTGCAATTTGCATAATACATAAAATTGCATCATTCCCAACCACTACTAATCAACTAATACAGTATCAATTTTTAATGTTTTGTGCATAAGCTTTAAAAGTTTGTTATGATTCAAGATTTTATAAAGAAATTCTAGGAAGATCTGAAGCAAAAGCATATTGTATAGTCATACACAAAACTACCATTTATAGGCTTTGTTATTTTTTTTTGTTCAAATTGCTTTTTAAAAACATCAAAATCATTTGCTGATATGCTTATACAATTTATACCAACAGATAGGACAACAGAGAAATATCAAAATTACTGATCTGTAAGGGCACAAAAAAAAAAAAAAAAGGCCTTGGCGTACCCACGCCGTACCCGAATGACCCAAACGTACCGGACCCTCTTTTGCTGTACCCGGTACGCGTATCCGCACCCGGTAAGTACCCGATACTCGTATGGCACTATTTTTGGAGGACCTGTACTTCATAGTATCCAAGAGACTAAGAAGTTGGGGAAACAAGGCAACTCCCACACACCAAGGCAATATATTGAGACAAGAAGGTAGCTTAAAGTACTACACCATATCACTGGAACCAAAACCAAACCGTAAAAAATAAAGAAACAGGAATAAAAGAAAATAACCATGTGGATTTATTATCCAAAAACCTTATTTCAAAAGGAAGATTAGAACCGCATATATATGCTAGTTAAGAAGTTTATCTTATAACAATGTACCAAATCAAAAACTACAACTAGTTGAATGGTTGACATGTGGCTAACAAACAAGTGACAAGTGGCAGGCAAGCAATCAATCCATAACAAAGGATATGTGACTAGTATGTAGCCAACTTAATGACAAGAACCTTACACGAGTCCACATTAAGGTAACTAGATAAGAAACTGCTTGTAAGAATTCATTAAGCAACTTAATGTGTTATCTTGTATTATTTTATTATCTAGAATGAAATATTCATATATAGAACATATAATAAAAATATAATTTTCGTTGTGTCATGCCCTTCATTTTTTAAAATCATCACGTAGGCATATGCCGATTTTGTGTTGTATGGGCTTCTTACGACACAACCATATACCAAGGCATCATGTTAATTGAGTTTAAATCGAATAATATGACAAGACAACATGATAATACACTGGCTTCTAAACGATAACACCAATAAGACAATACCAAGGCATCCACGGATTTCATTTCACTCCAACAATACAATACCATAATAGTGTCAACCACCACAAAAAATATAAAAATAAAAAACACAACATTTAAATTTTAAAATTGGGATGAATATGATGACAGGTAATCATGATGATTAATGTTTTCCTCCACCAATGACCTCAGAAGGTAATTTATGCAAATGTTCAAATGACACATAATAAATTGGAGAAAGCTTTATCCAAGTCATCACACCACAACCAGGCTCAGCTCAGTAACCTAGACGAGGAGTAAGGCTGACATGCAGTTCAAGCATTAACCTCCCCAATCCTAAAAATTGAGCAGCAGGTTGGCTTCTACAAAGCCAGGGGGAGGCGGCTTTGCTAGATCCCTAGACATATTGCAGTCATTTCCATGCCTCCCACCAAACCCGAAACTCTAACTATTAAGCATGGAATCATTTAGATGCATAGAGAACTTAAATTCACATATTACATTGTAATATTACAAGAAAGCTTAATTTTTTCATCAAAAGATAGATATTTTTAAGTAGTGTCGAGGAGACAACATATTGCTATATGTTGCATCTACTGTATTGTTCTAAGTTAGCATTTCCATCACAGTGAAAACAGGATGAGAAGCTTGAAATTTCTTGAATCGAAGTCATGTAAAAACATAAGAGAGTTTGCTAAATGAAATCTCAGATTAGTACCTGGTGCTTGGTGAGGCGTCTACGGATAGCTCTGGTCTTCTTGGGACGAAGATCAAGAGGCAGGTACTTCTTGTTCTTGTAAGCCTCCCTCAGAACCGACTTCTGCTTCTGCGAGATCACCGTCAACACCTGTGCTATCGACAACCTCACCACCTTTCTGCATCCAATTACACCAAAATCCAAATTCCCAAATTAACAATTGAGATTATTATGTGAATATGAAAGAGAAAGAGAAAGAGAGAGTACATCTTGGAGAGCTTGTTAGGGGCACCGCCAGTGACCTTGGCAACGCGGAGGAGAGAAAGCTCTGCCTTGAGATCCTTCAGTTGAGCCAATAGCTCTGCCTTGGACTTCTGCCTCAGCTCGTGAACCTTGATCCTCGCTACACAAATCAACAAACGAAGAAACAAAAGCTCCAGTCTATGAGAAATCGATGAACACATAAATGAAAAAAATAAAAGTAAACATTTTCTTCTTCTTCTTCTTCTCCTTACCCATGGCGTCTCTGTGTGTGTGTGTGTGTGTCTCTCTCTCTCTCTTCTCTAGCTTGAATGAATGAGGAGAGAACCCTAGACCTCGGCGGCGGTTCTAATATCTCTGATACAAAACCCTAATTCTCAACTCGCGCCAGATTAACCCAACCGGTACCTACCTAAAAGCTCTGCACGTGCGACATCAATGCGGGCTTACCAGCGTCTTGAACCGAGACATCGTGGGCTTTGTCCTGCTTAGCCCATCCTTGCTCTTTCACTTGGGCTTCAACAAACTGGTCCAATATTTTTAGTACATACAATTCACTTACGAAAGGGTGTCTAAGCCCCTGTCTGAGTGAGCAGAAATTATTCGACGGGTTAGGGGCGGACATGTATCTATTTAACGAGGTCATGTCATTTTTTTATCATATTCTTATTTTTAGGTCTCGTTTGGAAACATATTTTTTTAATAATTTTTTGATTAAAATATGATGTAAAAAAAATTAGTATGTTTGGGATAGCTTTTTAACTTTTTACGAAAAGATGTGCAAAAAGTAGAGAGAAAATGGAATCTTTGACTTTTTGGTATGGGTTGTTGGCTTTTTGGTTTTTTTAGTGACTTTTTGACTTTTTGGCTAAAAAAGTCACTTTGCCATAGGCCTTGTTTGGAAATAGGCTAATTTAATAACTTTTTGGCTATTTGGCTAAAATATGAGCCAAAAAAATTAGTATGTTTGGGATGACTTTTTGGCTTTTTGCGAAAAGATGTGTAAAAAGTAGAGAGAAAAGACAATCTTTGACTTTTTGGTATGGATTGTTGATTTTTTGACTAATTTAGTAACTTTTTAACTTTTTGACTAAAATGAAGAGTTCCCAAACGAGACATTAGTATTATGTATTTTTTAGCCCCTTACTATTGGTTAGACATGCCGTCAACGTGGAATTTTCGAAAGACAAAATAATTCCGCTTAAGTGAGGCTTTCAAAAGTTGGTAAACTAACCCGACCAAAAAAAATATGGTAAAATGCACTATAATCTGTCCAAGCCTAATTTAAATTGTGTTGAGAGTGGTATAAAACCGGCTTGTAATGTGAATTTGTTTACCTAATTTGAATTTGGGCATAAAAATTGAACTACAGGTAGGCTCAAACTTAGGACTGAGTAAGGAATTTGTAAAATTCGTAATTCGATCTGGTTCAGTTCAATCCGGTAGGTTTAGATTGATTTTTTGAATCCATGGATCAGTTTCGGATTGAAAAATTAAAAATTTGTAGTCCACGGATTGGTTTCGGATTAAACCCCACTGTATCAGATTAGAACCGATTCAAACCGTATACAAATATCCTATATTTATATTATACACCCTCCCGCATAGTATCTTCTCATATTCCATATAAAATCTAAACCCAAATCTAAAACCGCACAGTATATCTTTTTATTGCTTTTTTTTGTTGGTTTTTAATTTTAATTTTTAATGGTCTAAATACGTATGGTGGAACTAGTTTTAAATTCTAGAATAGTATGTCGCTATTATGGAAAGACATGTTACTATTGTGGAACTAATATGATGCTAGATTTTATGTTTTTATAAAATTAAAATGTTCTATATATATTTTTTTGTTATTTAATTGTGTGAATCCGTAGTCATAAACCGATCCAATCCGTGTTTAAATGGATTGATTTAGATTGGTTCTACGATTTAAACGGATTGGATTAGTTTCAATTTTTCAGGAACCGTAAATAACGGATTAGTTCTGATTGAGTCAAACTTTCTCACAAATTTGAGTTTTTATTTTTTATTTTTTTTGTTAATTAGCTAAAATTAGATCTATTAATATTTTTTTAATAAAATTATTAATAATGTCAAAATAAATAATTTATATGATGAAAAATATGTAGACAGGAGGGAATGAGAATGGAAGAATCGATGCATTAGTACAATGGTCATTTCTAAGTGAGAAACCAAAATGATAAAGTGAGGAAAATGTAATTATATTTTTTCATATTTTTTGTTTCTTTTTTTCTTTCAAATTCCTACTTAAATTAATAATTCAAACATAACTTCAAAGTCATTCAATGGCTAATAATTTATATTTATTATATATATATATATATATATGTGTGTGTGTGCGCGCGCGCATGTATGTACATATAATTTGGGTTCTGAATTACTTGTGATGTGGTATATATCCAAGTCCAATCTGAATTTAATTTAAATTCTAATTTATTTTTTCAAATTTATATCAAATTCAAAAATATATCGCTTAAATCATAAAAATAAATAAATAAATAAAATGATCAAGCTAAGGTCAGGTTACTGAAGTCCAACATGTCCAAATAAAACCCTTACATGCACAAAGTAGAAGAAACAATAGACATGCTTCGTTTGGGAAGCCATGGTTTGAGTTTTTTTGGTTATTTTAGCCACAAAAAACAAAATAGGCTATTTTAGTCATAACAAACAAAACATCACATCCAACCCATAATCATTACATTATTCTCTTACAAAAAAACTCAAAAAAACCAAAAAATCAAAAAGCTTTTCCCAAGCTTTTAAGCCCAGGCTAAAATAACCAAAAAGCCAAAAAACTAAAAAGTCAACCCAATTCCTAAACGGAGGCACAATATAAATAATAAATAACCAATAAAAACTCAATAGAATAATGATTTACTCGAGGACTTTGATAAACCTTCATAATAATAAAATATATATATAATAATAAACAAAAAAAAAGAAAAGATAACGCTGTACTTATGGTATTTTTTTTAACATATTTGATTTTACCAACTCATTTGATGTGTGATTCTTGTCGCGTGGATTCTATCTACTTAGTGAGTAGAGTTAGTGTCGGCTGCGGGCCTGCGCCCATAGAAACCCCCACCTAACAAATTGACATCTTGACATTGGTGTGGATTATATATTGATGGTTAGTTGTAGCCTTTTGAAAATTGGACTCGATATCATAGAATGATTCATCATGTTTACTTTCAATTTTTTAAATTATCTTTTAAAAAAGTGATTTAAAAATTATGTTTTAAAAATAGATATATGTTTGGTTTTTAAAAATTGCATTATTATAAATTCAAATTTCTCTCCGCATGTTGAGAGTGAGAGCAACCTAAGGCCAAGTTTGGAAAAAGAGATTTTGGAAAAAGAATCTAAAAAAGAGATTTTGAAAGCTTTTTTAGATTTTTTGGTAACCAAACAAAAACTTTACAATTTTTAAAAAATTAAGGCCAAGTTTGACATATCCCCAAAAAGATAAAAAATCAAAAAGTTACTTAAAAAGTTAAAAAATTATCATTATTCATCAAAAAAAATTAAAAAAATTGCACAGTTTGGGTGCAATTTTCACACATTGCTGTTCGGCCCGTGGGGGTCCATCACGGATCCCGTTTTGATAATCTGAACCGTTAATATGTAGAACTCGTCGAGTATTATATGTCTGTAAAAAATCACATTGATCGGATATCGATAACTATATGATCAAATCAGTTTTATATAAAAAAATGAATGGTGTTATAATTAACGATTGAAAAAAAAACAAATTTGATCAGATAGCTATCAATATCCGATCAACGTAATTTTTAGTAGGCATATAGTACTCGACGAGTTCTACACATTAAACGGTTCAGATTATCAAAGTGGGATCCGTGATGGCCCGCACAGGCCGAACAAAACCGTCCAATGCAATGTTCAAAAAATAGCCAATAATTTCTTACCACCAATTCAGCTCAACAGATTGTACGGCTGTACAACACACATCAATAATTTTCTCCTATACACTTCTTTATATAATTTTTTAATACATATTTTTTTTTATAAAAAGTCTAAAAGTTAACCTAAACATTCATATTTTTTTCCTCAATTTTTTAGTCTAAAAAAATAAAAAATACACTTATTTAAGATGTCCGAAACAACCCCTAAGTCAAGAAAAAAGAACCAAACAGAATGATCGTTATTTTATGGGTGAGCTTTTCAGATATTTTAATTTTTCTTTTTTGTATTATGTTGGAATCTTATATTTGTGGAGTAAGAAAAAATAATAATATTTTTTTTTTTCACAAATCCTCCATTTTTCTTTTCTTTTTCCTTTATTATAAGTCTTTTTCTTTTTTGTATTATGTTGGAATCTTATATTTGTGGAGTAAGAAAAAATAATAATAATTTTTTTTTCACAAATCCTCCATTTTTCTTTTCTTTTTCCTTTATTATAAGTCTTTGAAATTCAAAGAATTTTTTTTCTTGGAAATTGATGTAGACGAAAAGTGCGGGTCAAAATTTGTTGTTGCATATCGTTGCAAAACAGTATTCACATTATAAGTCAAATAGTAAGTGAAAATTTTCTCAACATTTTATGTATGGGATAAACCTCAGCTTCCCTTCTCGTTTTGCTGACAAATTTTTTTTCAAAAATGATACTCAAGAAAAAATAAAAAATAAAAAAAATAAAAAAAAGAAAAGAAAAGAAAGAAGCAGTACAAATAAAACAAAACAACTTCCGAATCAAGGCCCGCCAGCAGCCTGGTTTGTGTTTATTTGTTTATTTATTATTTTTTTGGGTACTTAATTTAGTCTTATTTTGTATTGAGTCTTTATACTCTTAATGAAATTCTGTAATTTTCATTGGGTGATGTGTGTAAATTTTAAGAATATTCTTAATAGATTTCACCTCTATGAGTATGGAAATGGGGCTATTTTTTTTTATAAAAATAAGACTTATTCTCAAATATGCTTATAAAAATTGGGATAAACATAAGGCCGTAATGTGCTGGCTGTTAAAAGTTTATGTCAACACTTGGATCATTATGTGTGAATAGTAATACTTTATTTCCCCTAAGCTGTCATAATTTAAGTCTGAGATCACTATTGGCTTTGGAGTAAAGGTTGTTGTTTCACTAATGAAAGTTCAATGCAGAGCACATCTTTACGATGCATACTAGTCTATCTTTGTTTGGTTATATCTCGTCCTTGTTAATATTAAAATAAGTGGAGGATTGTTGGATTATTTTAATATGTTTTATTTATTTATGTAGTTTTTTTATTGACCTTTTGTCTTATCCATGAATGGAAATTAATGGAAGGTCATGGGCTTGGTAGTGAGCTAATATTTGGAGATTTTGGGACTCGCCATTTTCTTTAGTTTACTAGTCATTATTTTTGGTGTAATTTGTAAGGTCCTAATA